ATGGCTCTTCAAGCAGGCCTTTGAAAATGGTTAAAACATCAACTAAAAATTGAGGACCAAGTGAATTGTTTGACTCTGGCACTTCAGCACTACAACGTCGTTTGTGGTTTTTTATGTATTATAATTGTATTCTCAGTTTGCTTCTGACACTATAATAATAATATTTATTTATTTGATCAGTCATATGACCATTTCAAAATAGAACACGAGTAAAAAACAAGGCAACAAGGTGATAAGTCAGAATCTTATTTTCCTGGTTCTTCTTTCAGGAAATCTGCTCTTTTCTTAATAGCTTTCAGAATAAAAAGGCTTACTCTGATTATGCTGGATCTTTCCTGCCCTTGCAAGAGGGATGTCAGAATATCATTTTTGTTGGGGGACCTGCAGTTGGATAATATTGGATGTAAATATCTGTCTCGCAGTTCAGTATATGCTGGACAGTCAATTAAGAAATGTTCAATATCTTCCACAGTTTGTTCTCCCCATACGCAGAATCTCTCACTTCTTGGGATGCAACAGTCATATCCAATTTGCATCCTAATACCGAGTTGTTCAAACCTAGCCCTAGCATATATTCTTCTTAAGGGCAGTGGAAGTGGAATAGTTAGATAGTGTTCTAAATGAATATTCCTTTTGTGGGAAGCTAAAAACCTTGTGGCTGAAGACCTACCTATGCTCTCTAGGTCCAGCTGTGCATAGACATCCCTAATGCGCTGCTTGAGCACTTGCCCTGCCCCCGGACCCAGAACACCCAGAAATTGCAAAGGCAGACCGAATCCAGCCAGCTCATTATTCAGAGCCGCCATCCATGATGACTTCTGGTCATGCTGGACTTGATCCTCTAGACATAGGCGAGGAAGTCTACTGGGATCCATAGAGTTTACTTTTGACCAGTAATTAAACTGTCTCATTAGAATTTGAGCTTTTACAGGGAGTATTCCTAGCTCAGCCCTTACTGCGCCGTCAGCGTTGTTCTGGAAAGGCCCAGGAAGGTGCGAAGCTGCTTCACTTGGAAGGCTTCAATCTTAGCCAAATTGATGTGCCCCCAAATTTCAGCCCCAAATATAAGTGCTGGCATTATTTTTGTTTTAAAGACTTCCAGGGCAGGTCTGATTGTGCCTGGGTATCTATGATGGTACAGCTTATAAATGGAACCTGCTGCTTTTGTTGCTGTTTGTATACTATGAGTAATGTGGTTAGCCCAAGCACCAGACGAAGAGAACATAATGCGTAGATATTTGTAGCAATTAATTTGTTCCAAATGTATGCCTTTCAGGGACCACGTGTACCGTTTCCTGTTTTTTCCAAAGACTATAATTTTGGATTCATCCTTGTTCACGGTGAGTGAATTTAGCTCACAGTACAAATTGAATTTTGCCAGGGATCTTAGTCCCACTGGAGGTGTTGCCATAATCACCATGTCGTCAGCGTAAAGCAGGATGTTAATAGTTCTGGACATAATTTTAGGACCATGTAGACTGTCAGAGGATAATGTATTTACGATGTAATTTATATAGAAGTTAAAGAGAAAAGGGGCTAAAATGCACCCTTGTCTCACCCCAGTTGATGTCTTGATTTCATTGCTCAGGACTCCACTGGGTCCAAGTCTAACTTTCAATACTGTGTCAGAGTACAGCATAATGATTAAAGTAAGTAATCTACTGTCGATGTTTGTGGCAGCCAGCTTTTCCCATAGTATGTTACGACAAATTGTGTCAAACGCTGAAGACAAGTCTATAAATGCTGAATACAGACACATTCCCCTTGAATTATACTTTTGAATTATGTGCTGCAGGACAAAGCAATTATCTATGGTTGAACGTCCCTGTTGGAAGCCTGATTGTTCTTCACAGAGAATATTGTTTTCATTGGACCATTGCTCAATTTTGATCAAAAGATATTTTGCTTCTGACACTATATATATTTTTCTATATCAGTGTTTCTCAACCTTCCTAATGCCGTAACTCCTTAATACAGTTCCTCGAGTTGTGGTGACCCCCAACCATAACAATATTTTGGTTGCTACTTCATAACTGTCATTTTGCTACTGTTATGAATCGTCATGTAAATATCTGATATGCAGGATGTATTTTCATTTACTGGACCAAATTTGGCATAAATACCCGATACGCCCAAATTTGAATACTGGTGGAGCGGGGGGGGGGGGGGGGGGGGGGGGGGTTGATTTTGTCATTTGGGAGTTGTAGTTGCTGGGATTTACAGTTAGCCTACAATCAGAGAGCATTCTGAACTACACCAATCATGGAACTGAAACAAACGTGGCACACAGAACTGCCATGACCAAAAGAAAATACGGGAAGAGTTTGGTGGGCATTTGACCTTGAGTTTGGAGTTGTAGTTCACCTACATCCAGAGAGCACTGTAGACTCAAACAATGATGGATCTGGACCAAACATGGCACAGATCCTCAATATGCACAAATGTGAACACTGGTAGAGTTTGGGGAAAATAGACCTTGACATTTGGTAGTTGAAGTTTCTGGCATTTATAGTTCACATGAAATCAAAGAGCATTCTGAACCCCACCAACAATAGACCTGGAGCAAAACTTCCCACACAGACCCCCATGACGACCCCTCTGACACCCCCTCACAACCCCCCAATGCTGAAGAGCCACCAAGAGCGCTCCATTCAAGGCTACAGCGGGTGCCATGAACATGTCTCCTGACCCCTGCCAGTGTCCTCCCCAAACAACCGTACTTCACACCACCCAAGTGAAGACTTTCATTCGGGGACAATTTCATCCTAAATGTTCTGTTTTTCCTCCAGAATGGACATCCCAGGGTTCTTCTCTATGGGTGTGGAATTTGCATGAACCCACCTACAGCCTCCCCCTTAACCCTTTCCTACCCTTTCTTATGGCACACAGCAAACAGGAATTGATCAGCAACTGAGCTTTGGGAAGAATTCACCATGATTTATAGGAGCTGTAGTTCACCTACATCCAGAGTGCACTATGAACCCAAACAATGATGGATCTGGACCAAACTTGGCATGCATACCCAATATGCCCACACTTGAAAACTGGTGCGTTTTGAGGGGAATTGGCCTGGACAGTTTGGATTTGTAGGTACTGGGATTTATACTTCACCTGCAATCAATGAGCACTCTGAACTCCACCAAGGATGGAATTGGACCAAACTTGGCATATAGAACCAACCATGGCACACATACCTGATATGCCAAAATGGGATTACTGGAGGCGATTGGGGGGAACTGACCTTCCTTTCTGGGATTTGTAGTTCACCCATAACCAGAGAAACGGTGACTCCCACCAATGAGGGACCTGGACCAAATTTGGCACACAGAACCCCCATGACTAACTCAACCTACTGGAGGGGGTTGAGGGGACTGACTCACCATAATAGGACTTGTAGTTTACCTACAGCCAGAGAGCACACTGAACTCCACCGATGATGCATGTCCAGAAAACTTGCCCAACGTAACAAACTTTAACCACTGATGGAGTTTTTCGGGCTTACCCTAGCATGATGTGAGTTGTAGTTCACCCACAACCTTAAGCATTTTGTACCATTAAAATGGACTTTTTCAAATAACCTGGGCAATGCCGGATACCCAAGCTAGTAAATAAATAAATACACTCTTTCAGAGGAAGGAGCTGGTAAAGCCACATTTGAGGCTGGATCTACACTGCCATATACAATCCAGATTTTCTGCTTTGAACTGAGTTATTTGGCAGTGTAGACCCATATTCCAGTTCAAAGCAGTGGATTATCAGATTTGATAATCTGGATTATATGGCAGTGTTGATCCAGCCTCAGGGTCCTTCCACACAGCCCTATATCCCAGAATATCAAGGCAGAAAAATCCACAATATCTACCCTGAATTGGGTTATCTGAGTCCACACTCAGATAATGTGGGATTTCTGCCTTGATATTCTGGGATATAGGGCTGTGTGGAAGGGCCCTATGTCTTCCTTGCCTAAGGAAAACCTTTGAGAATTATGAAACCAAAAACACTCCTATGGCAAAGGCCATTAGAAGCAGAACCGAGTCTAAATTCAAGGGGAGAAATCAGAGCGCTAGAAACAATATCATATGAAAGTTGACTGGCACCACCTGGGGATCACAACCAGACACAGTGAAGACATCTGCCCTTGCGCTATGCTAGTCTGCTGCTGAGTATGCATGCCCAGTGTGGAACACATCTCACCACACTAAAACAGCGTATGTGGCTCTTAATGAGACATGCCGCATTATCACGGGGTGTCTGCGCCCTACACCACTGGAGAAATTACACCATCTAGCTGGTATTGCACCACCTGACATCCGCCAGGAAGTAGCAGCCAATAGCGAAAGGACCAAGGCAGTAACATCTCCAGTTCACCCCTTGTTTGGTTATCAGCCAGCACGTCAACGACTTAAATCAAGAAATAGTTTTCTAAGATCCACAGAGACACTCATGGGAACACCTCAGCAAGCGAGAGTCCAAAAGTGGCAGGCTCAAACCCAGAACCTCAACTAATGGCTGATACCAAATGAGCGACTCCCTCCTGGGCACACAGAAAACTGGGCGATTTGGATGGCTCTGAATGGATTGCACTCTGGTACCATGAGATGCAGAGCCAACCTTAAGAAATGGGGCCACAAAGTGGAGTCCACGACATGCGAGTGTGGAGAAGAGCAAACCACTGACCACCTGCTGCAATGCAACCTGAGCCCTGCCACATGCACGATGGAGGACCTTCTTGCAGCAACACCAGAGGCACTCCAAGTGGCCAGATACTGGTCAAAGGACATTTAATCAACTACCAGGCTTGCAAACTTTGTGTTTTGTCTGTCTGTCTGTTTTGTTCTGTTAGAAATGTAATACAATTGTCTGGCTGCCCCTGACACGATAAAGAAATAACCCTGTATAAACCTCACTTGCCTAGTTTCCAACAAACCTCCCAACCTCTGGGGATGCCTGCCATAGAGAGAATGCTTCTGGAACATGGCCAGACAGCCTGGCAAAGTCACAGCAACCCAGTGCTTCCACCCATGAAAGCCTCCGACAACACATTGTTTTGGACTCCATTTCCCAGAATTCCTCTTCATTGGCTGCAGCAGACGAGGCTTCTGGGAGTGGAAGTCCTAAACACGGGAGGGAGCCGAAGTTTGGGACCCTCGGAGCGAAGAGGCCTGGTCTCGCCTTCGGAGCCTGAGCTAGAGTTGAGGGAAGGGCTTGAGGGGACTTGGCGGGCTTTTTTGCCTCCGCGGTTCCTCCTTTCTGGCCTCTTTCTCCGCCTCCTTCAGTCGCTGGAGTGAGAGAGAGAGAGAGAGAGAGAGAGAGACGCCGGCTGAGAGGAGGGAGCGGCTCCTTCATGAGGGCTAGGCGGGATTGCCAAGGCCTTCCTCAGCATGGCGGGCAGCCCCGAAGACGACGACGTGCCCCTCATTCTGACCCTGGAAGAGAGCAGGAGTCCCGCGGCCGTCCGTGAAAGTAAGCCCGGCCTTGGTCTCCCACCTCCCCTCCCCTCCCCTCCCCTCCTTGGCAACCATTGGAGCATCCTTTCCAGGAATTCCCCAGCCTCCAGAGCTTTGGGGACTCCAACTCCCAGAAGCCTCAGCTGCTGTGGCCAATCAGCAGGCATTCTGGGAGATGGAGTCCAAAACTCCAGTAGGGCGAATTCCACCCCAGGCTCCCAAATTGCCCCATTAGGGAGGCTGAGAGAGTGCCCCCCTTTGCTTTCTGAGAGGCCCATGACTCTCTATGTTTCATTTTTGATGCTACTATTAATATTTGATTTCAATTGTAATATTTCATTTGATTTTTATTTCAGTTTCCTTATTTAATTTCATTTTGACGTTGGATTAGATTTTTAATTTTTGTTTCAATACAAGTAATAATCAAAACACAAAGCAAAGCAATTAAAATAAATCTCATACACAAATAGCATAAACATAACAAAACACAATGCACATTTAAAAAACTATGGCTGGGCCAAATGAAATTGAAGTTTAAAAAATAATGCTGGGCATGAACAATATAGAGGAGATGGGGCATTGGTGGAAATGAACAGGCAGTCTTAAATCAGTATAAAGTGCTTTTAGAGGACATAATGCTAAGGGTTCATTATTTTGGGAAGGCACACTGGAACAACCATGTTTTCAAGCTCCTAAAGACTGCCAGAAATGGGGCATGCCTGATGTCCTTAGGAAATGAGTTCCAGAGTCGAGGGGCCATCACCGAGAAGGCCCTCTCTCTTGTTACCCACCTCTTCTCACAGCTTTAAAATACATATATAAAAACACACAAAAGACAATCGCAAGCACAATTGGTGGGGACCAATCGTGCTTGCGATTGTCTTTTGTGTGTTTTTATATATGTATTTTAAAGCCGTGAGGAGAGGTGGGTAACAAATAACAGTTGTTGTTGTTTCAGTTGCAAAATTGTTCAAATATTGCCTGTAAAGGTGTTAATGGATACATCTACAGTGTGGAATGGATGGTGTTTAACAATGCTTGAGCTGCCCTGGCTCAGTGCAATGGAATCCTGAGAGTTGTAGTTTGGCACTGTTTGTCAGAGAAAGCCCAAGACCTTATCAAACTTCAACTCCCAGGATCCCATATCATTGAGACTAGGCAGCTCAAGTGGTGCTAAACTGCACTCATTCAACAGTGTTGTTGCACAAACTTTGTTTCAGGCCCCAAAGTGTTAAAACATAGCCTGTCTAAAGCCACCTACACGCTATGCTTAAGGTATATACGAAACATCAGTGCGTTTTGTGTTTCGTGTTTAGACTTCTGTCTACTTCTAAGAGATCTCATTACGCATATGCAAATATTGGAACAAAATGCTGACCAGGAGTTGCCACAAAAGTGCTATAGGCAATCATTTTGGTGTCACCCAGTACACTCAGCACCCTCCACTCGAGACCTATGGAATGACTGGAATTTGCATCCGTGTTGTTTCATTTTGGCATTGTTCTGTCTACTGAAAGGTCGAATGCATTCATACAGGAGTGGAAAGCATCGTTTGGTGATGACACATCCTCAAGGATTAGTCTCTTGCAGCAAAAATGTTCACCAGCAGTCCTGTGGCCCCTTGAAACCAATGGGTTCCAGCCACCCAGAAGCCTCTGTTTTCCTAAACTTGTCATGCTGCAACATCTTGGTTCTTTCCTCCACCGTTCCATTCTGTTTGGTGGAGTTTTACACCTTTCTGTGTCTCCTGGGAGTACCTTTTCTTGCTTTATTGGCATTTGGAGGAAAGTGCAACAATGCAAAACCCAGGCAAATAAAAGTTAGAATCCACAGGGTAGTAGTCAGTGCATTGGCCATCTGCCTAAAACTTACCAGCTTGGGTGCCAGCTCTTTCCCTGGTTGCCATCTGCCTCACCTCTGATAGTGTTGAAACTCAGGGCAGGGCCTCTAATGATCTTGTTTTTATGGTGGTTATAGCAAATCCCAACTTTGTTGCATGAGTCTAAATGATAATGGAGTTTGTGGTGTGTGCTTACTATCTAGTTAAGAGAAACAGACAGAAGAGTTTGCAAGGTACTTAAACATGTGAATGAATCATTGATGTCCTTGCTGACAACATTTAGGAGAAAAGCTTTGTTCATCTCATACTCCACTAACTTTGGGGAAATATCAAGTGAACAGTGATCCAGAACTCTCATCTGTTTCTCCACAGAACACAGGATCCCTGTTTACGGGATGTAGCTAACAAGAAGACACACACTAAAGAGGAACAGGTTATAGTTTCTTTATTGCACATTGGCCTAAATCTTGTTTTTATTACTAACTCAGGAAGTAGATCCATTCAGTCAATGGGATTTGACTCACTAGTCAAGAATCGATTGAATAGGACTACTCTTGTGGGGATTAACCACGGGATGCCTGCCTCTGTGTATTAATTGGCTTACCTAGTGCCAGGCTATTTGTGTTACCAGCAACAGTTTGAGAAAGAACCAGTATTAAGCATGTAATTGTCAGTATTTTCTGTGTTCAGCGTCCCTCTTAACTCCCTGTGTTTGTGTTGATATACATATTAAAGAAATCTGGATGACAGTTCATGAACTGGAGAAAAAGTAAAGCAAGCTTAGCCTGTGCTGTGATGAATTTTGGAGTCTGTCAGGTAGTGCTGACATTTTTGTAGTGCTGCAAGGTCTACTGGAACAGAAACACTTTCCTTCAGGTAGCACTTTCCTTACATACAGGATAGGGCATATATATTTTCTTCTATGTGGAGGATTGCATGGATTTTCCTCCTTTGCTTGAACTCATCTTTCAGGAAAAACAAGAACCCTTTAATGTAGTGGAGAACATATAAAGTTAAAAGAGAGTCAGCATAATGTACTTGTTTGAGTGTTGAATCTAGACTGAAAAAACAAGGTATGGATCCCTGCTCAGCGGTGGAAACCCACTGGATGGTCTTGGGCAGGTTATTTTCTCTCAGTCTCAGAGGAAGATCATGGTACGCCACACACTAAAGTTGTAGTGTAATGCAGAGTTCATGGAAAATAGTGCTTTTATGCCTTTAGTTCTGTGGGTCTGTTGCCCCATGTGCTCTGCTGCATAATGGGCCTACTGTATGGGTGGTCTTCTCTGATACATGGGTTGTGCAAAGAGCCAAGACTCCTCTAGACCTCATGTTTCAGTTACAGATGGGCAGAATGCCATACGACTTCCAGTGTAATGAGCTGCTTTCCGCTGATGAAGTCACAGCGAGAATAAATTGGAGTGCTTTGGCTGAGTTGGGCTGTCTGTTACGCCTAAGATTGTCAATTTATTCTAGTTAATTAGAATCGGAGTTTACCTGCAAATCTTCCCCAGCCATGGATGGCATGCTTGGCATAAATTTGACCAGATAATGGGATCGCTGGTAGCATATGCTTTGGCTGGTTTCCTAGAGTCTTTTGCTTGCTCTGCGTTGGTCTTTCGGTCTCCCTGGCCAAAGACACTTGAATTCCAATAAGGGGACATGTAACCCTCAGGATGATGTTAGCTTTCAGTTCCTGTTGTCCTTCCTTTACCACTGAGCATTCTAATGAAAAATAGAGTCTAACAACCTTTGAAGGACCTCCTTAACCCCTGAATTAGGGGAATCAGCTCTAGAGAGTTCTGTTTCCTCTGTGTAAACATAAAATCAACTCTTGTGCATTGCTCTAAAGTTTTGGGACTAAGGGGGGAGGGGGTGAAGCATCTGTAATTATTAATGTTGCTTAAGTGTGGAATAAGGCTTTGGTAATAAGGAAATAATTTGTGCTTTGCTCTTCCTTCCCATCAACAAAGGAGTCCATTTCCATTTTAGTTACACAAAATGTGAAATAATGCAATTTGCTTTAGATACACCAAGCCCTTAAAACTCTTGGTCAGGGTATTGATGCTACTGTCAGTGTTCACCATCACTTATCAAGAGTGTGACTGGTGTGAGGCCAAGCAGTGTTCGCTATCTTTTTTTTCTAGGTCGGACAACCTGCAGAATATTTTAAAAAGCACAGGCCTCTTTTGTGCAAGTTTTCATTCCAGTTCGGAGTAGTACAGAGTAAAGTAAGAGAGTTTTGTTGTAGCTCTCAGCTGTGCTGGCATGTTAAAGCTTTGTCTAGTGCTGCCAGAAACTCTTAGTGGCTTGAGATTCTTTGCAAGCTACTCGGACTTTTAAACAAGATTGCTTTGAGAGCCTTGTTTACTAGTATCAAAAAGGAAAATGAGTCTGAGAAAGGCAGAGAGTCTGTGGTGGGAAAAAAAACTTTATCTGTAACACATTTAACAGGGCATTTCCATTTCCATGTGAAAGAGAGGAGATTCAGAGCTGCAGAAGAGTGGTGACAGAGTTATAGGAGTAGCAGAGAGAAATTATTTGAATAGAAACATGGTAAACTGTATACAGAAGAGAAAAGTTGCTAGCAAGAGAGAAAAACCAGCAAAAAGTTTTGTGTGAGAAGGAATATCTTTAGCACTAAGTACACTCATTGCATCTTCCTCTTGGTTAGTTTAGAAAAGATACACTGCACTTTTGCTTGTATTTAGAGGCTCAGCTTGTTTTGGAAGCATCCCTTGCTGTTTTCGATGCCACGGCTTCTCAAACAAATCCTGTGCCCCCCTCCTCCCCTTCTGAAGCACTGAAATGGAATGTTCTGGCTCATAAGCGCAACGGAGAGGGAATCTGAGCCTGGAACCCCTCGGGCACTGAAAGAAGGAGAAAAGGCAATCAGTCCCAGCTCTAACCACGGCACAGATGTTTATGTGTAGTTTATACAGTGTAGCTTATGGAACTGGGAGAAATAAAATGAGATTTCCAAGCAGGGGGCTTGGCAGCATGAGGAGGACGCCTTCCCCGATGCTACCTAGGACAAAGGAGTTTCCTTCAAGCATTGGACTGGCAACGATGACTGAACTCAGCAGGCCCACCTTTTGTTTTCATCTGGGACTCTAAAACACTTGGCCACAGCCAACATATTTTATCGGAAAGCCACAAGAAGCAGAAAAGATAAT